TTGGGGCCATCTCTCATCATGGCAGGACAGGTTTGGTAGGGGTAGCGTTATGATGTTGGGGCTATCTCTCATCATGGCAGGACAGGTTTGGTAGGGGCAGCGTTATGATGTTGGGGCTATCTCTCATCATGGCAGGACAGGTTTGGTGAGGGTAACGTTATGATGTTGGGGCCATCTCTCATCATGGCAGGACAGGTTTGGTAGGGGTAGCGTTATGATGTTGGGGCTATCTCTCATCATGGCAGGACAGGTTTGGTAGGGGCAGCGTTATGATGTTGGGGCTATCTCTCATCATGGCAGGACTGGTTTGGTAGGGGTAGCGTTATGATGTTGGGGCTATCTCTCATCATGGCAGGACTGGTTTGGTGGGGGTAACGTTATGATGTTGGGGCTATCTCTCATCATGGCAGGACAGGTTTGGTGGGGGTAGCGTTATGATGTTGGGGCTATCTCTCATCATCGTAGGACTGGTTTGGTCCATATCCAGGGCAATCTTTCGGCTCAACGATACATCAACGAAATTCTCCAACTACACGTCCTCCCAATTGCAGCCAACGGCAACGGTGTATTCCATCAGGATAACGCTCGACCGCATACAGCACGGATCACAAGAGCCTGTCTACACAAAAACAATGTTGATGTTCTCCCCTGGATTCCCAGATCCCCGTATTTGAACCCGATAGAGCACCTGTGTGTGTGTGTAGAGAGAGAGAGAGAGTGTGTGTGTGTGTGTGTGTGTGAGAGAGAGAGACAGACAGAGAGAGCCTTAGAGAGACAGAGAGAGTCACAGTGAGATATATGCTTCCAATAAGTCTCATCTGTATATATGCCTTCGTACAATATATACTCAACAACAAAAGTTCCTGTGATACCAACATTTTAGTGTATTTTTCAAACAAGTAAAGTTTGGATTTCAATATTGTAGTACATGGATAGAACAAGCCACGAAAACGCAACTGCTACAGAAAAGCATGTATTCCATGCAAAAGTTGACCTATATGCAAGCCCCATTGATTTCACTACCCAAGAATGGGTATAAAAACATGTGCATTAACGGGATTTCATATGTATTGTTTAACATCGTGCTGACAACAACCACTCAGAAAAACAACACAATTACGCAATTATTCAACATTACGAAATGACATAAGCGAAATAAGCGGCTGCGTGCCATTGGTATGCTTGAAACAGGATCGAGTCAACGTGATGTTGCAAGACAATTTAACGTCCACAGAAACACCATTTGGTGTTTATGGCAACGTTGGCAACAAACGGATGCAGTCGCTGCCACGATGTGTTGCAAGACAATTTAACGTCAACCGAAACACCATTTGGTGTTTATGACAAAAGACGAATGCAGTCAGAGACCATCCTCGGTGTGGCAGGCCACGCATAACCAATAATCGACAAGACAACTGGACTCGAACAACACACCTACGAAATCGATTCCAGCCAACAACAGTGACTGCAAGAAGCATTCCTGGCCTTGGACGAATATCTTCATAAACCGTACGTCGCCGCCTCAGATGTGCAGGGATTATCGCCACGAAGACCCACCAGGCGTCCCATTTTGACAGGAAACCACAGCCAAGCACGTCTACAGTGGTGCAGACAGCATCTACGCTGTACGGACATGCAGTGGGGACAAGTTCTATTCACTGACGAGTCTCGTTTTCACCTCAGCCACAGCGATGTACGGATTCGAGTGTACCGACGTCGAGGTGAACGTTACGTCAATCATTGTGTCACGGAAGAAGATCGGTTCGGGGAGGCAGTGTTATGGTATGGGGTGGGATTACAGCAAGGCAGAGGACCCGTTTGATATTGGTAGAGGGGAATCTCAATGGACAGCGCTACCGCGACGAGATGATCGGCCCTGTTGTTCTACGGTTTTTGCGTCGTCATGGCATTACCTTTCAACATGACAACGCCCGGCCTCATATTGCTCGACTAGTTCAGGAATCTCTTCAACAAAACAACGTGAATGTCATCCCCTTGCCGGCTCGCTCCCCTGATCTCTCACCAATCGAGCACATTTGGGATGAGATGGATCGGTGCCTACGACGTCAACCACGTGTTTCACAGACACTCGAGGAACTTCGAAACATGCTCCAGCAGACAGATATCCCACAGGACTTTGTGCGACGCCTGGTCCATTCGGGGGAGTCGTTGCACAACGGTTTCAATGCCATCATTCAACAGTCCTCAGGCTACTGAGCAGATACCAGCAGAAAAGAACCACCAGAGATCGACCACGTCCGGGTCAACGTCGTGTAACTACACCACGTCAGGATCGCCATATTGTTCGTCGAAACTTCGTGATCGTACACTTCCGGCGACCAGGACTGCAGCAACCGTACAAGGCCTACGGAATGCTAGCGCACAGGTCCACTCCCCCATAAAAGAGTAACACCTCGACGGATTGCTAGGGTACACGTCCCTGTATATCACTGACACACACGATAAAACCTAGGGTGCAAGTCCACTCCCCCCTACAACACTGACACATATGGGGAAAGCTAGGGTGCAAGTCCAGATCCTCTTTATCACTGGCATCCCCGAGAAAAAACTGGGGTACAGGTCCACATCCCATGATATCACTGACACACCGGAGGAAACATTGGGCACAAGTCCGCTCCCCTCTACATCACTGGCACATCGGGGAAAGCTTGGGTATAGGTCAACATGACCGTATAAAACTGACACATCGGGGAAGTGAGTGTACAGGTCCACATGACCGTATAACACTGACACATCGGGAAAGGGAGGGTACAGGTCCACATGACCGTATAACACTGACACATCGGGGAAAGCGAGGGTACAGGTCCACATGACCGTATAACACTGACACATCGGGGAAGTGAGTGTACAGGTCCACATGACCGTATAACACTGACACATCGGGGAAAGCGAGGGTACAGGTCCACATGACCGTATAAAACTGACACATCGGGGAAAGCGAGGGTGCAGGTCCACATGACCGTATAAAACTGACACATCGGGGAAAGCGAGGGTGCAGGTCCACATGACCGTATAACACTGACACATCGGGGAAAGCGAGGGTACAGGTCCACATGACCGTATAACACTGACACATCGGGGAAAGCTCGGTTACAGGTCCACGTCCCCAGTTCGTGCTTCAGAGATTCAAAAGATTACTTCAACTTTCCAATGGTCAACTTTTCCTTCATGTCGAGCAAAATTCAAGCTGCTCCAGCTTTTGGTGTATACATTTCACATCTTTGGAAGTACAATCGATGATGCTTTTTCTACCTGGATTTCAAGGAGCATCATACGACTTTTGCTCCAAAATTGTTTGATCAATATTACAACAATCAAGGCCCCTTTCTAAACGTTTTATGGTAGATAAGTGGAGAACATTTCCAAATTTGACACATCAGTGACAAAAGTGATGTCCGATGCAACTCCCTATTTTGACTTGTACCATACATAATTTTTCAGGTGAACAATTGACTTGCCCTTGCATATCTTCTTATGGATATCACCGTTGGGATAAGATACGCTCACATTCTTCGCGAATATCTGGTATCATCACTATTTGATAGTGATTCAAAGACACATGCTCATGATATAGTCGGAATCATACAATCGACTCTGCTTTACGCTTTGAATTTGCAAAGGGTTTTGCCGCTTATATTTGTTTGAGTACAGTGATATCATGACACATGTGATGACTCTGGTGCAGCTTATATATCATGATACATGCCATAGGTCTGGCAGATGACATTGTGACACTGTCGCAATGTGTTGATGCAGGACTCGATACCAGGGACACTATGGAGCTTTGTAGTTCTGTTGAATGGATACGGTTATATGTGGAACAGCTGTAAGCTATAGTATTTATGCAAAATCCACATTTCCTTGTATTCAGCTCTGAATAGAAGTGATAATCACCCATCTACCACCATGGCTACTTCACCCTGTCAGTTGATGATATCCACATATTTGCGTGTACATGCATTTTCTATTTAACATCAGTCAGTGCTTACTGTGTTGAATAGTGTCATGATTGTGTTCTCCGAGTCATCACCATAACGTGATTAAGGAAGTATGTGATGTCATAGCACTATTCCAGCAATAAAGTCTGGGTCAGACAATCCAGTGATTGACTGTGCATTAGTAACATTCTATGCCATCGACCAGTCAGTGAGTTGGGTTTTAGACTGCTTTTTGCAGGTGACACATTATAACCATGTGATCATGCGTGGATCTTTAGGCACCTCGATAAATGAGTATGAGGAATGGGTTTTTGGACAGATATGCTGCTAATTATATCTTCATCATAGGTACTTCATACATTGTTGAGCAGGCTGCTTAATTTCTGCATTCTCTTCCAGAATCTCCATTTTCTGTACTACAAATGAATAATATGATGATAACAACCCATGACGTATCATTGTGTGAGCAAATGTTGTGTTTGGTCGGCAGTATTCCAGCTATGTAACGGTGCCTGTACATAATCGTGTCAATCTAGTAATTGATAGCATCGCATCAAGGTGACTAATTGTAACCATTTGCTCCACGTGGGTCTTTAGGCGGTTCAATCCTGTGGCACCTATTCTGCCTGGAATACTCAGTGTGTATTAAGTAAATATTGCTCACTATTGAAGAAAAAAGGGTAATTTTCAAAGGGCATTCCTAAAACTTGATAATGCAGATTCATCTGATTCACGTGGGTTCCTACTAAGTGACTCTTCACACAACAGGGACCACGGGTGGCCGAGTCGTCTCAGGCGCAGCAATTCGCTGAGCAGAGTTGCGTCCCTTGGGCACGCCAGAAACCTATGATTGTGAGTTCAAATCCCGGTTTGCCACGATTATGTTTCTACGTTTGTCAGGACCATACCCGTGCTCGTGGGTTTCACCGAGGTGTTAGACGCCTGAGACCTGCATCACTTCGTGCTTTCCTCCCACATTATGTTGTCACAGCGCGATATAACTGTAATACTGTAATAACACTCACCTCACACAACACTCACCATTTCTGTTAGCAACTGTGTCTTGGCTACATCGCCACATAATACGACATCCGTATGCAAACACCTCCTGTCTACATGGTGTCTTGTCCAAAAACGGATTGCTTGCGGGAATGCCGTACCGGAGCACTGAGACGCCCACAAATCCCGGTTCAACCACATCAACTCTCAATATCTTCCCGAGAAGCCTGGCTCTGTATGGGAGAGTGAGTTGGGTTCAGTGCCGCTTTCAACAATATTTCACTTATATCTCACAGAATGTAGATGTAGGTCTTGTACTGCTGTCATAAGTCTATGTTAAAGAACACGAGTTCCGATCGGCTGAGTGTTTTAACTGTGGTATGTCTATGTTAAAGTATGCGTTATTACCAGTTTAGTAAAACCTATGAACGAGTATGGTGCTGACAAAGACAGAAACATAAACAGGGCGAACAGGGATTCGAACTAGCGACCAGAGGCTTCTTGTACGCCCAAGGAACTCAACTCTGTACAGCGACTTTCAGGGCCTCGTTCTGATATCAGCACTAAGACTGTTATAAGTCTATGTTAAAGACTACACGCTACGATTGCAAAAAAATACGAGTTTAGATTGTCTTATAGCTGTGACTGTCATAAGTCTGTGCGAAAGAATATGAGTTATTACCGTCTTTGCACTACCATTGTCGTAACTCCATGTTAAAAAATACGAGCATACAATTATCTATGTGGAAGCGGTTTTCGACCCTTGTTCAGCAAGTTATAAAGTAGCACTTTCCCATCGACTTACAAAGTACAAGAGATTGAAATGATTTGTGAATAGGGGCCCTAACCAGAGAGAACCTAAAGGGAACTCGTGCTTTTGTCATTTCTTGCAAAGTCACGCAAAATATGTATTATTCTATTAGCAACGCCAAGTTCTCCTGTTTAACTGAAACAGAAGTTATAACCTGTGTTTTAAAAATGTAAACATGCAATAGTCAACATACGGGTCTTGTGTATGGTCACGTAGCACGCCATCATCACTAATACCGTCTCCCACCGAGATGTACAGGTATCCATCATGGCCGAACAGCAACTGGAATAGAAAAAGAAAATGACCTTGTCCTTTACTTTTGACCTTAACTTTGAACTTTTCGATAATGTTGTATTAAAGGTGACAATATTCCAGATTGGTTACAGCTTTTCGTTCCATTGTCTTTATCATAAAGGTAATGTTTCGGAAAAGTTACCTGTCCGCCATTCCCAGCATTTGTTAATTGTTCCATCCTTAGCAGAATCTGCTCTGTGGCGGGTTCTGCGATATCGTTAACGACGGTAGACTCGCTGAGATGGGAGAACTGAACTTCCGAACTGATGCCAATATAATACATGTACAGTTTACCATTTTCGTTATAATGAGGATGCAGGGTAAAACCAAGTTAACCTCTTTGATCAGCTAGAGTGTCTGTTAAAACAACCCTGTCGAAATATTCAACAAAACACCTCCTTTCTTGTAACGTGTTTCCAAATATCGCACAATCCCGCGTTGTTCTGCAATATAGTACCTCTCGCCCCGGAATTCAATATGGATTGGATTATAGAACCCCAAGCTTTCATTCTTAAGACAGACACACGTCTGCGAGGCTGCCACGAAACCAGGAAGCGATATCAAGTGAAGTGAGAGGCACCATATGGTAGTGAACTCCAGCACATGGCGGGAAGACATGGCGGCACAATGCTTCCTGTGGCACAGGTGCAAATACACCCACTCAACAGGCTGTGTAGGGTAGATCACAGGACAACTGAAATCCCCAAAGACGAGGACTGATTAAATAATTGCAGAACGTGCTTATCGATTTCCGTCTTTATGTCACGCCTAGGCTGCCTGTATGTTACCAGTGGTGTGATCGCTTGCAGTGCGTTTTCCTGGGAAACCTGAGGATATACTCTGGAGTCACTGAAGTCGGGGTACGTGCGATCAGCTTATCTCAGGCCATAAGTATCTATTCTGAGCTGTCGGGTGTCTTTATATTGAACAAGTGTCCTGTGTTTTTGATCACGTTTTACTACTGCGCAAGACTCTGACTGTGATATAGGTATTATCTACGTTATTAAAAATGTTTACGACAAAAAGCATATCTTTGGGCATTATGTCAAATATTGATAAGATGTACAAAACATACTGAAATTAAATTTTACAACAAATCACATCAAAATATCAAATTCATAATTATTGGACAAAGCTATTGTTAAAAAACATAAAGGGAGGTTAGTGTTGTATTGGCTGTTTTGATTATGAATACGGAAGTTATTATATGGCTTGAATGTAGCTGAAGGTTTGTCGCAGCAACACAGGCATTATAAGAAATAATAAGTGGACAAGACGTTAGTATGATAGGTCAAGAAGCAATGCTTGTCCACATCGCAAGGAGTTATTCTTATGCATACAAATACAAAAGTCCTGTTTTGCCACAAATTTGATAAAATATATACCCCTGACAATACTGGAATGCAAGTTTCACACGCTTAGCCCCTAAACACACTTTTAGATGTTAAACACAACCATAAACATGTTTAGCAACCAATTAGTGTCTTAGAAAACTGGACCTACACATGATCAAGGTCATTTTGTAAAGTGGAGTCTGTAGATAACCAACCAAACAGCCAGTGGGGATTCTAGGTCAGAACAGGGCCCTAGAACCTCATTTTGTAAGGGACAACTAACTGGGTTCAGGTGGTAAGACTTTGTGACCTGGCTGAATGTGCGTATTAAAGAAATAATAATGAAACAGTTTTGGCTTACAATTATAATGAAGATTACGATTGGTCCTATAATCGGCAGCAACAATAAATAAGAGCCCTGTAATATATGTCAGTGCACTCACGAATGGCTAGAATTTGTCACTGTCAAGTGTCTTAGGGCTTCCAGACAGTTTTATGGTGCACATCTGGGGGACATTTCCGAATTTGAAGGATTGAGAAGGTTGCATATGTCGAGCCCAAAGGACATGGCAATATCATTAGAAATGGACTCGACAAGGAGAATCTGTTTTTTTTAGTGTTGATTCTCCTTTGGCAAATCGTTCGAGACCATCCATGCTGAGGTGGTCAAGGATGATAGCCTTCCTCTTTGCTGAGCAAAACGCTTAATGGATTTAGTGACAAACAGAAAAGCAAAGGGCCAAAAGAATCGCCCTTAAATATTCCTCTTCTGATAGAAATGGGTTCCAAAGTCACCACCTGGCCCTGCGAATACATCTCAAGTTGAGTTGACCAGCAGTTCATTAAAAACTTCGTTACATACAGAATCATAAGCTTTTCTGTAGTCTATCCAACACATTGATTTAGCCTCTTCAAGGATCATGTTCTGAAATGGCAACTGATCCGTACAACCCAAGCACCCCTTTTTGCTCCTTTCTGCCCCATGTTAATAATGTCATTGGAAGTGCAGTATGATGAAACAAGATATGCTGATATCACCGTGAGAAACCGATTCCACCGAAGGAGGATACCCAAGTATCGGTCACCTTTGCGCTAAGATCGCTTTGTACAACGGTACCCAGGTGGTCTGCGACTCCAAGGTCTGTCTCCCATCCGCCAAGTCTGCCACTAATGGGCCATGAGATGGGTGACTAGCGTTTTGCTACAACCATGACTCCTCGCGATGTGGACAAGCATTGCTTCTTGACCTATCAAACTAATGTCTTGTTCACTCCGTTGTAGCCTTCATCTTGACATGTAATTTATCACTGTCCAAAAGTTTGGGTAAGAATCAACAGTTCATCATTCCTGTCATACCCTTATCTTTATGTGCTCGCATTCTGCACGTGCAGCAACATTTTCTCTTCAAACTCAGTTATCAAATATCTAATCACTGTATTCCTAGATCCGTGTGCAGACCTCTGTCACCAGTCATTGTTAACTTACTCTACAACAGATAATGTGTGTAGACCCCTGTGACCAGTCCTCATTAACTTACTCTACAACAGTTACTGTGTGTAGACCTCTGTCACCAGTCCTTGTTAACTTACTCTACCACAGATAATGTGTGTAGACCCCTGTGACCAGTCCTTGTTAACTTACTCTACAACAGTTACTGTGTGTGCAGACCCCTGTGACCAGTCCTTGTTATCTTACTCTACAACAGATAATGTGTGTAGACCCCAGTGACCAGTCCTTGTTATCTTACTCTACACCAGATAATGTGTGTAGACCCCTGTGACCAGTCCTTGTTATCTTACTCTACAACAGATAATGTGTGCAGACCCCTGTGACCAGTCCTTGTTATCTTACTCTACAACAGTTACTGTGTGTAGACCCCTGTGACCAGTACTTGTTATCTTACTCTACAACAGTTACTGTGTGTAGACCCCTGTGACCAGTCCTTGTTATCTTACTCTACAGCAGATAATGTGTGTCGACCCCTGTGACCAGTCCTTGTTAACTTACTCTACAACAGTTACTGTGTGTGCAGACCCCTGTGACCAGTCCTTGTTATCTTACTCTACAACAGATAATGTGTGTAGACCCCTGTGACCAGTCCTTGTTATCTTACTCTACAACATATAATGTGTGTAGACCCCTGTGACCAGTCCTTGTTATCTTACTCTACACCAGATAATGTGTGTTGACCCCTGTGACCAGTCCTTGTTAACTTACTCTACAACAGTTACTGTGTGTGCAGACCCCTATGACCAGTCCTTGTTATCTTACTCTACAACAGTTACTGTGTGTAGACCCCTGTGACCAGTCCTTGTTATCTTACTCTACAACAGTTACTGTGCGTAGACCCCCTTCGACCAGTCCTTGTTATCTTACTCTACTACAGATATTGTGTGTAGACCCCAGTGACCAGTTCTTGTTATCTTACTCTACACCAGATAATGTGTGTAGACCCCAGTGACCAGTCCTTGTTATCTTACTCTACAACAGTTACTGTGTGTAGACCCCTGTGACCAGTCCTTGTTATCTTACTCTACAACAGATAATGTGTGTCGACCCCTGTGACATGTCCTTGTTATCTTACTCTACAACAGTTACTGTGCGTAGACCCCTGTGACCAGTCCTTGTTATCTTACTCTACAACAGATAATGTGTGTAGACCCCAGTGACCAGTCCTTGTTATCTTACTCTACAACAGATACTGTGTGTAGACCCCTGTGACCAGTCCTTGTTATCTTACTCTACAACAGTTACTGTGTGTAGACCCCTGTGACCAGTCCTTGTTATCTTACTCTACAACAGATAATGTGTGTCGACCCCTGTGACATGTCCTTGTTATGTTACTCTACAACAGTTACTGTGTGTAGACCCCTGTGACATGTCCTTGTTATGTTACTCTACAACAGTTACTGTGTGTAGACCCCTGTGACCAGTCCTTGTTATCTTACTCTACAACAGTTACTGTGTGTAGACCCTATGACCAGTCCTTGTTATCTTACTCTACAACAGATAATGTGTGTCGACCCCTGTGACATGTCCTTGTTATGTTACTCTACAACAGTTACTGTGTGTAGACCCCTGTGACCAGTCCTTGTTATCTTACTCTACAACAGTTACTGTGTGTAGACCCCTGTGACCAGTCCTTGTTATCTTACTCTACAACAGTTACTGTGCGTAGACCCCCTTCGACCAGTCCTTGTTATCTTACTCTACAACAGATATTGTGTGTAGACCCCAGTGACCAGTCCTTGTTATCTTAC